AGGTGGAGCCATTTCATGGAGAAGTGCCAAACAGAAATGTGTGACAGGCTCCACCATAGAAGCTGAATATGTCGCAGCTTGGGAAGCAGCGAAAGAGGCAGTTTGGCTTAGAAATGTTTTGGTGGATTAGAGGTGATTCCGAATTTACCATGGGCTGTTACAGTTTATTGTGATAACAGTGGTGCAGTATCAAACTCAAAGGAACCACGAGCCCACAAGGCCAGTAAACACATAAAGCTCATATACCACCTAATACGAGAAATAGTAGGGAGAAGAGACGTTGAGGTTGCCAATATTGCATCAGAAGACAACCTAGCAGATCCTTTCACGAAGAGTCTGCCGAGGAAGGTCTTCGCTAGACACGTGGAAGGAATGAGAGTCAGATGCGTGGCGCCAGGATTGACATAGGTCTTCTAGATTAAGGATTGAAAAGATGTATACTTGTAAAAACAGAAGCTTTAAGTAAAAGTGAGAGATTGTTAGTGTATATATTGAAAGCTGACTTTAGATGTTATGTACATTATTTATGTTGAATGAGAATTTATGTTTGATTAAATAAGTTTTATGTGTTTTGTTGTTTTGCATTTAGATAAATGATTCATCACAGATGAACAAAAGATTATTTATTAGTGAATTGCGAAACATAAAGAAATTGGTTCACAACCAAGATGGAAACTGAACGGGCAATTGGAACGGTTGTAGTGGCAACGGTGCAGTTGGTCTTGACTGATAAGTTGCAATAGTACATTTGTGTATTGAACGAATTCCAGAAAAGAGCATTTCGTTTTATACTGATCGGCATAAACGAACTAGGCCTCGGCTAATTACTGCGTACTCTTAACACGTAAGATATAAACAAACACATGTATGTAATAGTTACTACTTTGATTCATCACGGTAAGTTTCATTCTGTCTGGATCAATAACTGGTTGAGTTGGGTAGTAATGTTGCATGACATAGTGCGCTGCTAAAATATTTACAGTCACCATGTACTCCGGTTTGATGATGTATCCGAAGTGAGCTCAGAAAGATTATTTTGCTAAACCTTGCAGGTGGATTAGGTTTTGGTATAATAATATGCATTAAATGGTGCTAGCTTCGGCACAAGAGATCAATTGATTTGATTGTCAGTAATCGAATCGATTGATGGAAATTATATCTAAAACGTGCGAAGATAATTCAAGTAATTTAGAATCGAAGCTCAAATGGTTATTTGGGAATTAATTGGGAGGTCTCAATAATACTAATTCAGTGGAATGACTATGCTATTCGTATATGAACGGAGTGGGCTTGGTCCATATATGAGGAGCCCAATTTAATTGTTTCCTAGGGTCCCTATTGCAGCCTATATATATACACCATTTTCTTAATGTTTGGAAGACATTCATACACTTTAGACTTTAAGAGAGATCTAGATTCTCCTTCCTATTAAGGGAGTTCTACAGGTGTTAGGGTATACAACAAAAGATCTTAAGATAGTGGAGCAGCCGACCACCACCGGCCGAGCACCCGACCACCGTCGACCACCGTGCGCAATGCCCGACGCGACCAGGCCTTAGCTATGCCCGATGCACGCCGAGCCCCGGACACGCTCGTTGCAGCCCCACGACGTCCAGCGACCTGCGAGCTCAGCGCGCATGACCGAATCCCGTGCGACGCAATATGAGAAAACCTCAAATGACTTGCGACCCCCACGGCATTTGCGCTCGCCCCACACCTCGTCGTACGCAGCCCTGCTTCTGTTCAGCACAACTCACGAGCCCAACGTACCCGCGACACGCCCGGTAGCCGCACACACACACCCGCGCGACCCGTCCGACCGTGCGACCATCCGACGAGACGAACTTTCTGACGAGTGGAATCAACAGTTCTCCATTAACAAAAAACTAAAACGGAGTCTGCAAAATTTTAAGCCGTAAGTTTTCTACGTTAATCTTTCGATCCGCTGCGCATAGATTTATTCGTAGATTAATCCATGACTTGCACAATTACGACAATCCTCATAGATCCCAACAAAAAGGAGAATAGTTATTGATAAAATGTGTGGCTTATGTGGTGAGTGGCAAGAAAATGTCGGAAGCTTTTGGGAGTTCACTGGAGCAATCTAGAGAATAAGCAAGTGATGTTTAAAAAGTGGTGGGAAGATATTTGTTGCTTAGGGGCTGATTGTGCTTTGGTTGATAGAATTAGTTTGTCCACATATCTTCTCTGGTTGTTGTGGAAGATTAAAAACTCATTGTTGTTCAACAAAGTGTGGATGGATGTGAGGGAGGTAGAGAATAGAGCTAAAAGAGACTGGGATGAGTATAATGTATCTTTGGCTGAAGACTCAAGGAGATCAGAGTCAAAACCTTCTGAAGAGCAGATAGAGGTTCAGAGTGTAGGCATGAGGGTAAGACAAGTTCTTATTATTGTCAGTGGTCATATGTTTTCTCAAGGATCCTGGTGGGTTGGGCTGTGTGGTGGAGCAAGAGGGAAGAGAGGTGTTTACATATGATGATAAAAGAATAAAATCTTAACTTCCACTGCTGTCTGGACTCGAAGAAGATTGCTATGATGCTGAAAGGCAGAGCTCAACCTTGTTCTAATGTTAGTATTATTGTAAAAGACATTTATCTCATTTTAGATAAGTTTGTTTCTTGTTCTTCTGTTGATGTTGTTGCTTGTAGGGCTGAGCATGGGACTCGGAGAATTCCGAACCGTACCGAAAACCGAACCGAAAAATATCCGTTGACCGTTTGACTTTCTCCGAACCGAACCGAACCGAAAAAATAATTGGTACGGTTCTGGAGATTTCATAAATATCCGTACCGAGAACCGAACCGAACCGTCCTGTACCGTACCGAACCGAAGAACCGAAATTAAGAATCGAATTATAAAAATAGATGCGTGTTATTAATATATTTTATGTCAACTTTGATCCTATATAATTTGAGAATTTTTGAAATGCAAATAAAATATAGTTATAACAACTAAGATTCACTTACATTTCATGTTTAGTAATACTTGATCTACAATTAAATTTCTCATGTTTAAAAAAAAATAAATGGAATGAAAGGTAAAAATTTTTTTTTTAAAAAAATAAGCTTTACTTAAAGTTAGTAGAATTGTATTATATTTTGTTTGAATTTAAATTATATTTAAAAAAGTATACTTACGCTTAGTTTATCTTATAACTAATAGGGTATGGAAGGTTAAATAATTATTACTTTAATATAAAATTGTATTATATTTTGTTTGAATTTAAATTTTCAATGTTAGTAGAATTTAGTCTTAATTAAAATTTAGGGTTACTTCTAAAGTTGATTTAAAAATAAAATCATTAGTATGATGAAGTATTGATGAATGTTGAATTTAAAAAGACATAAAAAATAAAATATAACTAGGTGGTCATTCAAAAAAATTTAAAAAATGATAAGAAATCTCCGAATATCCAAACCGAACCAAATCGAGCCGAACCGTTTCGATAGTCCCGAAAACTGAACCGAACCGAACCGAACCGAGAAATAAAAATCTCCGAACCGGACCGAACCGATTTTTTGGTACGGTTCTGGAGATCGAATTTTAGTGATCTCCGAACTTCGGTTCGGTTCTGGAGATTTATCAATCTCCGAACCGTACCGACCCATGCTCACCCCTAGTTGCTTGTAAGAGGTCTAGCAGTTTAGCCATGTTGGCTGTGTAGGAGCATAGCGCCTGTACTCTCGGTTATCTTCATTCCTAATCCGTGTGGGTTAGAAATTTAGGTTTTTAATCAGTTGATTAGTCATATCATGTAAATTTCCTCGTAAGGTTAATTAAATTGGTTGTTTGCTGTTGTTTTTTTTTTTTAAGAAAAATAATCAGTAAGAAGGTGGCCCCTCCCGATCACTGTGCGGCCGGAGATTGGAAGCAATTCAAGGTTGAAAACATTGCTTTTGGGACATGACACACTTTCTTCTTGAGAAATGATTTCTCATCGTGAGCTCATAAACTAATAAATACTAGGGAAGGTTCGGTTGGTGTTATTCAATAATTGAAGATGAGCATTTGTTAACATAAATGTCGTTTGTAGATAAACCATAACCGTCTTATTTGCTGTACAGACCTCAATTAAAAAGTCTACAACGCGGGAATGAAAACATATGCCGAAGGTCCGTAACAAGTAGAAGCTGATGCATGAAAACACTACAAAACAACTCCTTTTCAACTAAAAGAGAAAAATCTCCTTCATTTTATTTATTTTTTAAATGTTTCCAATCACTCCCGTAATTTAATGCCCATCCAGCGGACATGCAATAACTTAAAATTCACAAACTAACACCATAGCGGATGTACTTGACTTTGAAATCGTCCATTTTGAACCCCACTATTACGTTTTTCCAAATGACTTACATCTAAAAGCCAATTTCATGTGCAGTAAAAATATAAAATAAGCCCCCTAGCTATTAATTTCCCCTCCACCTTTACTATGTACCGTGGGCAACTGTAATTTGAAATAACATCCACTAGACCATTATCATGAACCTTAAATATCAAATTTGTCATTTTTTATTCACTCCAAGGTTAGAAGGTAACTGAAGAATAATGATGATCCGTAATCTTAAAGATAAGATATAAAATAGTCAACTCCACTGGCTTTCTTTATTTTTTTATTTTTTCTCTTTTGGGGTGTGAATAGATAGAAACCGCATATCATTTTCTTAAGAAAATAATTTAAAACAACTTATTTAACAGCAAAAGAAGCATTAAAGTAATCACTTCTTTCACTTGATTCAAATTCCTTCCCTAATCAGCTGACCCACCACCATAAAAATTTACACACAATCTTTACCCAAATCTCACCTAAAGTTCTGTCTCTCACTATTTATCAGAAGTATCCAAAGTTCCAATAGCATAAGTTATGATTACAAAATCTGTCCCTGCAATTTGACCTAATTACAAAAAACCAAAACTCAGAAAGTAGAAGTCAAATGGCTTACGGCTGTCAGTACTATAATATAATATCTAACTGATTTGCAGTCATATGGTTTTATATACATATACAGTATCCAAACACAAGTTAGGACAACAAATAGAAACTATTCAAACAAGCAAGAACATGACAGAGAAAACCCACATGCATCAATTCTTTAGGGCGGCCACAACTGAACATGGTTGGTTATTACTAAGGTAAAGCTAATTTGACATTGGTGCTTTTCATGGAGTAAAATGCTAATAAGAACATGCCAGCAAGCAGAGTTTACACAAATTTGTCATATAACAGAACAAGTTAAAGGTAAAAAAACATACATCTCTTAAGAAGACAACAGTTAAATGTATGTCCATTCATGAACGCTCACCAAAACAAACTGGTTTGTTCTTTAGCTCAACTCTCCACCAAAAGCACAATAGCAGCAACAATGCACCATGTATATATCTCACCCATGTCAAATGAGAAAATCATGCTTGTTGTCTCAAACGAGGCTGCAATGCAAGTAGAATTTTCTTTCTGGGCCCCTGCACAAAAAGATTATTTAGAATTTTTTTTTTTTTTTCAGGTCCTTTCACAAAAAGCTTCTACTTTTATTTAATATGAAAGTCTTAGTTAGACAACAAGAATTTAGTTTGTGCCAGTAGGGAGTTGCAAAGACATACAAGATACAGTCAGATACTAATCACATTCTTCAAATCATATGCTAAACGTTTCATAAGCCAAGCAGGCACTATTAGTGAACTACTGATAGTTCAGAGGAAGAAACATAAGCTGCACAACTCTACAGTAATTTCATGATCTAAAAGTTCATATAAAAAACACTTCAAGGTTTCATAAATCTGCAGTGCAAGAAAAGAGGACCGATTAAGGGGTAGTACCATAGGGATTCCTAACTCTTTAAGATCCCTCTCAGCCATTCGCTTCAAAGAATACATATCAACCTGCATAATGAATTAAACTTAATTAATCGTTGGATACACCGATTTTCATGATTTAATGAAGCAGATTGTTTCTTTGAGACCAAAGTTTAAGAAATCAGGCTGAAGGGAATATACACTTCCAAGAGATGGAAAGTCATAAGTTGCCTAAAATAAACATGTATGTCATATTCAGCAAGCCACATAAATTACTCTGAGTAATTTGACAAGTTCAATAGAAGCCCCTT